CGTGTGCCCAAAGTGTGTGTTCACGCGACAAAAGCGCGCAGCTCTCGAATGATAAAAAAAAGAAGAGAAGAAGATGAGTATCCCCTCCGAGGAGACGATGACGCAAGCGAAGATGCTGCAGCCTATAAAAAATCCTATTAAAAAGACATACACACCAATACAAACAACGACGAACTGACGGCAGATCGAGTAGCGACCCGGCACAAGCGCATTAAAAAAGATTTACCTATAAAATATAAAAAAGGTAGAGAGGATGATGGCTGGTCCCAAAATGATAGGGAAAGTAGCAACAGGAGTTCTATGTGCAGCGTCTGCTTGGCACACGCGATTGATGAGCTGAGAGTCGAGGGAGAGACATGAGATAGGGAGAGGAAGCTGCGTCTTTTTAGCAGCCGTTCGGGAGGATGCCCTAAAAAAGAGATGTGCCGATGATGTTGTTGTGAGGTAAGTTTAGGGTAGCACGTAGCACGCGACGTTTTGATCCTGTTGAGGCATTTACATTTAGCTCCTTGCATACCTGGTTGACCTCGAGCTGCACTTAGAGAGCGCACACACACTCTTTTGTTTCTTCTTGTTTTTATTTTTATTTTATTTATTATTTTTTTTTGTGTTTTTTGTTTTCTAAGACAAGCGCAGCTGCCATGCGCCCGGCAGCATCCGCCTGTGGTCGACCCCTCCTCTGCCTCAATGGTGGCGACGACTGCATTTTTAAGTGTTCATTAGTCGCACATTTACATATCGAAATTGTTGGCATGCCGCGCCTGCCCGGGAATCGGGCGATCGGCAACTGGGAGCCTCCCAGTTGTGAAGACGACGCGTGTCTCGTGGCTGCTTGCGGCTTTTAATTGCTGTCACTTTGTGGAGCGTTTGTTTGTGCGAGTGTGTGAGTAAGTGTGTGTGTGCCTGTGGGTGGAGGGGGATGGGGGCTGGGATTAATGTGTTGCACACTTCGTTTGACATTTGAGTGGCTTTGTGGCTACCACCCCAGCGTCGAGAGCATTGGCTGCACTGTCGCCGGCTGCTCTTCTCTGTTTTCATTGTCAATTTCTTTTTGTTTGATTTGTCATTTGATCGTCGACAATGCAGTTGGCAGTTGGTGTGCGATTAAAAAATTAAGTTGCTCTCCCCCCATCCGAAAAAGTAACGCGCCGCATTTTGGTTGTGTTTTCGTCGTCGTAGTTGTTGTATTTGTCAGTTCCACGAAGTTCGGTGGCCTTACGTGTGGCTTGATGCGCCTTGGCACGTGCACATGCTGGGTGTGAGTTTATTGAGGGTTGCGCTTGGGGTCGATTGGGCGTCTTCGGGTGTGGATGTTGGGGAATGTGATGGGCGTTTCGCGCAAAGGCCTAAAAGTGCTTATATACCCTTTAAAAAAGATCTCATTTTGATTTTTAAATACACTTTCTTTCAAGTGCTTGGAAGATGAATGAGAAGATGAAGTTGTATATTTTAGATTCCAATATCTACTCCATCAAGATTAAAGTCCTGAGGCTCCTTCCAATTAAAAGATCTAGCTGTATTCCACTTACGAAGAACTGATATATTGAAGTGTTTACTTGTTCCATACTATACATTTAATTTACAAGTCAACATTACATTTAAAATAGGAATTTTAAAAATTGAAGAATTCTTTAAACACTCAATTAGATTTCCACAAAGAGAAGAGATCATAAAAAGATTATATATTGGAAAATCAGTAGCTAGATTGTCAACAGTAAGAGCTATTTAAATTTAAATGATTTAAATGTAAAATAATGATAGTGCTTTGTTTTATGTTAATTTATTTATTGAAGTGTGAAAATGCCGGGATCGAAAAATGGTTTAAAGCAAAAATAATCAACTCTAACGAATCAGATAGATCTTTTGAAAAGGTTTGATTGACTGAAGAAAAGCTTATAAAATGAAACTGTAACTTGAAAAGTTATATAATGTTTGGGTTTTTAATTAAAAATATATGGTAATAGTTAATTCTATGAAGCGAAATATATTAAGATTTCGAAGCCGCATTGGAGGCTACCTTGTCGGCAATCGATTCCCACACATCTCCACTTCACTCTCACTTTCGAAACTTAACTCTAACGAGCTGAACTGTTGCCTCCACCCCTCGCTCAGGTTCGCTCTCGACGTGTAAATTGCTCCAGAGACGAATTGTGGCAACGCACGCAAGGCGCGGTACTCGAATGCATTGGGCATGGGCATGGGGTGCCTCGTTTTTCTATAGTTTTGACACAAAAAGTAGACTTCGACTCGCTGGCTCGGACGAATCGACAAAAACATTTTAAAAATTGTTGCCATTGTTGCGTCAGCAGCGTCCTTTGTGTGTTATCCTTTGTGTGCAGCACACAACAGCCGAACCAGTCAGTCAGACAGAGCCATAGACGAGAGTGTATGTACTGCGTGTGTGTGTGTGTGTGCAACGCACGGGGCCAAAGGTTATCTAGGCGACACATAATGTTGGAAGCCGCACAGCTGCCATTGCCGTTGTTGTGTTGAAGCGCGCGCGCGCATTTTTCCAACTCCACTTGGTCGGTCAATCGTTGGGTTTATTTTGTCAATTTGTAGCTGTTAACCATAATGTGGAAATAGACAGAGCAATGAAGCTCCACCGGTAAAGGCAAGACGAAAAAAAGAGAACATGAAAGAAATACTGGCTGAATCATTCTGCGCCCCAAATAGCACAAATTATCGAAATCATGCAATTTGTGTTTGTTCCGCTTTTGGTCCGGGCGCTAATGAAAGGACCAGCAGACAGAAATTTGACTATAGACTATCGCTTCATCAAAACTGTATGTCACAGTTTTGCGTGCTTGCTGAGTCAATCAGCAACAACTAGAGAAAGCATCCTTTTTGCGTAAGTCTTATAGGTTTTTCTTTTCGGCGGCATTTCTAGGTCATGCTGACCATAACTGACCGGCCAGCTGTTGTCTGTTTTGCCATTGGGGTTGGCCAAAGGATACGCGCTGGTCATGCGAAAAGGTAGGTAAGGCTGACCAAATGCGTTTGTCGATTTGTGCGTACACACAAAAAAATAATCACCCTAGAATAACTAGAAAAGAGCAATTGAAATTAGTTCGTACTTACAGGACGAAAATGTAAATGTAAATTACCAAGAAAATAATTGCTGGACTTGCAGGATTTCTAGTTTTCAACGAGAGTAAATAAGAATATAAATATATTTTAAAAATATATTACAGCCTTTTTACCAAAATGTTTATCTAAATGTATCAATGTTTTGAAAATATACTATTAATTTAGCAAAAACTTATTGATTTCACAGAAGAGTTTTTTCCTTTTTTTAATAACATTACTCAATTGGAAATTAGTTGAACTAACGTTTTAAAGGTTGGTTACACATATGTATATTCGTAACAGAGTACAAAGCATAAAAGAAATATGATCACGCAACTTTAATAATTCTAAAGCAATCCAATACTTGTTAGGCTAGGTCAGAGATTACAAAATTAAAATAAATACATAAATATAAATCAATAATTTAACATTTTGAAAAGAACATCCTAACATCCTTCTTATTAGTTTTAATTGAAGAAAAAACATTATATTCTTGAAAACGTTCGTGTGCAAACTATTCTTTTTCTGAGTGTATAACTGGCATTTTCAAGTCATCTAATTGTGCGTGAGTCGCCCGAGTTGTTGGTCACTTTGGGTCAGTCTGTAGTCTGGCAAAAGGGGTTGTTATACATATGAATACATATATACTTACACATAGCATATACCCATAGTATATGCCCTGTCATTCTGCTAGTCACCACCAACACCACCACCCGCTCATCATCATCGGAGAAATCAGCAACAGCACCATTCGCACATGAAAAACCCCTTGCATAACCCTCGTCAGTTTCGCAACCCATCACCCAGAGCAACCCTAAACGTAAACAGCACCCGCAACTCAACAACCCCCCGCAACTCAACTGCAAATTAACGCGTTTTTGCCTCAAAATGTTGCCGAAAAATCAATGAAAATTGAAATCCTTTCGCTGCGCGCGTGTCCAATGCCCATCAACGCATTGATCCTTAAGCGCTCAACCCTACAATCAGCCACGCACGAGCAACATAAAAATTAAAAATAAAAAAATAAAAATAAAATAACGACACTGCACAAATTCCCTGCGCCTTTGTGCGCCTGTCGTTGCGTTTTTTGTATCAATTTGCAATTTTTTTCACCCATTTTCAAGTTGATTTCTGCACGTTGTGTTGTTGCTTTTGTTGTCGTTGTGGTGTTGCCTATGGTGGTGGCATCCATTGATTAGTCCCCTTGGATTTTAATGAAGGGGCGCGGTTGTTGCGACTCGCACAGCTCAGCTGTGATTTGCGCTACTTTTCCGAGCGTGACATGAAATGCGATTTTTTGTTTTTGTTGAAAATTCCTCTTTTTTTTACAATTTTTAACGACTTTTTTTGGTTTTGTCTGTGCGGCTTCACTCAACGGGGTAAGAAGTGAGGGGGGAGGCGGCAAGGACACATAACGCGTGTCCTTTATGTGTCACACTTGATTATGCGAGTATAGCCTAAAAAGGGCGTACATTTTGAAATCGAAAGTTGCATGAAAAAATGTGATAAGAGAAAATGTTGGGTTTTATTTATTGCCAAAAAAAAGTTCACCAGATGGCTAGTTTTAAAAAAATCCAAAAAGATGTTGGTATCCATTTTAAAACGGACTGAAACTATAACAGTGTGTCTTATAATAATTCAGTATATAGTGCATTTGCCGAACTATAATATAATATGTATCTTATACTTTGGCAATATTCTGCATAACACTTCTTTTAGATTTACAAATGTGATTAATCTTTATGGAAATTCGGAATATCATTTGTGTGGAAAGATATTCTTTCTTCTTGCTTTCTTCAGAGCCATTGTAACATGGTTTCTTAACAAAATTTACAATTTTCCGTTTGCGTTTGCAAAATGGAAATAAGAAACCTGAAGCCGTCAAGCTAAAAATGCAGAAGCTTCACAGCTCTTACCAATTCATACAAATATTTTATCCAATAATATTTTTAATTATTATCTTCATTTAAATTCAGATTCGCATCAGCACTCTTTTCCTTATCAATCTTGATCGAAGATATTTGCTGAACCTCCAACTGTTTTATGCGAGCGGTTAGACGATCATGATCATTACGTAACCTTTCCACCGATGATCGTTTTTGGATAAGTATCGCCATATTCTCATCATAGTCCCGCATGAGCGCTGGATAGTGCATAAGACAGCCTTCATTTTTGATTTTTTTCGTCTCCTTCAAGATTTTATTATGTTGAATCTTTCCTTCATATATGCGACGACGCAATGAAGTTTTGAGGTTCATGCGTGACTCCAACCTCGATTTTAGTCTCGACGTAGTTTTTATCACCATTTGCTCCTTACATCTCAGATGAGCCATCGAATGTATATCGTAATTGATTCTACTATTATATCGCTTTAGTTCTGCATCTCGTTCTGTAAGAATTTGAAATTATTTTCATAAATACTAGTAGCACAAGAATTTTGAGCAACTAACCCTCAATTTTTTTATACAAAACCTGCACCTCATTGAGTTTTGTTAGATATTCGCGCATCTCCAGACCATTGCCTATATCTTCCATTTTCTCCAATTTCTGTGAAACCGTAGAAACATGCAGGTGGACATTTGCTTCAGAGTTACGTTATTACTTGTACTTACATTTAATATCGCTGCAAACTGATGCTGCTTCATGAGCAGGCAGTATCTAATATTGGCCACCTCATTACCAAAATGAGAAATTCGCCTTAGAAGTTCGTCGACGACACGCTTCAGAAGCGTAAACTCGTCTCCTCTCTTCTCGAAGAGCGTTGACTTGACACAGGACTCAAAATTATGGACCGTATGTTCAACTAATATATGCATAGCCGTCACTTCCTCCTTTAGCTTTTGTGTCAGCTCATTGTGCTTCAGGGTCATTTCCTTTTTATGCTTCAAAAACCTATCCAGTTCAGTTAGGGCTAGTATATAGCGCGATTCGCTAATCTTATCTTGATTCTTTGGTTCGGTGATGCACGCAAAACGTTTCTTTCGCAGAAAGTATTCGGTGACCAATTTGGTAAGTTGCTCATGTCGTTGACGCTGCTGTATATACTGATCTACTAATGCACGTAATCGTTTTTGCATTTTAAATTTGTCCAAGACGCGAATCAAACGCTTCTTATAGCTTTCACAGTCCTGAACGACTTGATTAATAATGCCTTGTAAAAATTGATGACAGGCTTCAATACTCTGCTGATGTTGTCGCATTTTGTTCACCTCTATGGGATCATCGAAATCCACTTCAGTTCGCACCTTAAGCTGGGTCATACGCTCAACTACATCGGCTTCCTCATTTACCTCTACAACATGGACGTGTGGCTTGAAGAGCTCTTCATTTTCTTGCGGCTCCAATATGAAGCTTGCCATGGATACGACTGTATCTTCTGAGGACCGGCTTTCTATTAGCTGAACAGACTCTTCGGACTCTGCCTCGCCTTCCTCATATACAGATTCAATAGTAGGCGTCTGTATTGCTTCTGTGGATTCCAATTTATCCACAAACTGACCCATCATATCATCAGGTTTGCGTAGCTCAACTCTTTTCGCCTCAAGCCTCCGAATATCGGCACTCAACGTATCCGACATCTCGCTTAAGCGTGGCAGGTCCTTAAATGTCTTTAGAAAAATGTACCGTTCCGTCAGTTCATTTTCGTCATCTAACTCTGATGAATCTGATGATGGAGTCTTGGAGCTTGTCGATTCATTGGATTCATCTGCACTATATCGCTCCTGAGCATTGTCTGCGGTACGCCTTTTGGCCTTTCTCAGAGTGAGTGGCGAGGGCTGCTCGGATGCAGATTTGGATGCAGCCAGGTTTATTGCAGAAGTAGAAAATGTCCCGACTCTTCGATGGGACAATCCAGGAGCCATTGTTGCCCTCCAAGTCATTCTTGCGCTGTGGCCTACTTTAGCAATGGCAGTTCTACGTTTCGTACGATGCATTGAGATAACTGAGGGAGAAACTGGTTGTAAGCCTTCTGTACTTTTCATCGGCTTAGCCAAGTTGGTGTGCGATCGCCCTTTATGCTTCTTTCTGTCCTTTGCCTTCTGTCTGGCCTTATCTAATGAATTTTGTATAGTTGCTAAATGAGTAGAGCTTATTGCATTGATCGCAGTCCGACGGGTTTTTCGCTGCAATGAGTAGGCTGATGCACTCAAGGGCTTCAACGAATCTGTTGCATTTATTGATAGTAACCTTAGAGGGAAATGTGGTTAATTAAAATAATATAAAATATATTGGTAGAAGTAGCTATATATATAATAGTATAAACGTTCAAATAAACCTTTTACTTTTTCCATAAGCCTTTAAGCCTTAGTCGTATCTCTATCTAGATTTAATATAATCGATCGTTGGACTCCTACTTTCACACTTCGACGTCTAGCTATAGTATTGCATTCTGCTACAATATTGAACGGTTTTGAATCTTCTGTATCAACGAATCTACAGATAACCTATTTCGTATGAGTTTCAGACCAAAGTTATGTTTCAGTCTAAAACTCCCCCAGTCCCCTTTCTGTTGTCTTAAAACACTTGTCCGCTAGCTACTGTTAGCTAGCTATTTCACTTATAGCTGTATGATAATAAAATGGTCTTCAATTTACCCAGAAGCTTTAGAAGTATTCTCCATTAGTCCAAAACTTATAGTAGAAGCATTTTTATTTTTTCGCTCAGATGATTGCTTTGCGGGAATTGCGGGCTTAGGGCCATCTTCCACATCGAGTGATACGCTTTTCAACAGCTGCGCATCCACTATTATGACCGAATAGCTTGGCTCCAAATCCACGTCCTCAGATTCCACAATTGGCTCAGCGTTTTCGCTCATGATTCTAAATTATGATGCAACTGATAACAATAAACAATAAATAACGCGAAATTAAAAGCTAAAAAATATAAAGCGGGAACAAAAAAGTATCCCTAACGTAAGGGGAACACAAACTAAATTATAAAACGGAAAGTTAAAGATAAGACTACTACTACTTGATCCAAATTAACAAAAACTTTAAGTAAGCTACTTTTTTCCATAAAAATGTAAATAGAGTTTCAAATAATATACATTTTACGCAATTTTAGAAATTAATGCCTTATGGCGGGCTTTCGCTGAAAAGTGGAGAACTGTTAGATTGTAAATTGAAAATCATATTTCCGCTCTTCTAAACAGGGCTAGGGGTGTCCTTGGGATTCCTTAATCGTTAATACCATTAAGCTATTGTACATTTCAATTTCTTGCTTGAATCAGCTTTCGGATTCTTTTGGCTTAAACTGCAATCCCAATCTGCGAATGCTACCTTTCTCTAACAGGATTCTAGAGCTCGTCGTAGGAATGACGGAGATGTTGATTGCTCAGTCGATTTGGGTCGTATTAACTTTTTAGTAACGAACAAGGAATATTTTTCCCCTAAAATTTAATAAAAGTAAAAATAAGTTATTTTAGATAAATGCACACTTAATTATTAATTACATTTGTACGAATTTAAATTTTCGTGGGCTACTAAGGGGAACTAACGCTTTTTGTTTCTTGCTGGGAAAATTTAAAAATAATGAGCTTTCACCATTTAAGGTCGACTAAAATAAATGTTATGCTTTACAGCTGTTTCAACTATTTTTGTCTACACACGAGATGTACGATTTCCACCTGCTTAGGCCAGCACTACTTCTGTATCAATCTAGCCCAGATCTGTAGCAAAAATGGTCAACATCACAAAACCGCGTTGGGCGAAGAATGTGATGCGAAGGGGAAATTAAATTAATTTACAAGTGCGAACTGTAACTAAATATATATATTAAAAAAAATATAAGAAAAAAAAAAAAGAAAAAGCGGCACAAATGCAAAACACTTTTCTATTTACTGAGCCACGAATGTTTGGTCGTCAGTCGCTCTAGCCCTGATCTAGGACTCGGTTCTAACTCCACATCCATTTGGCGGACATTACTAGGCCATGAATCGGGCGACTGGCCGCTCGCCCCTTCATAAAAAATTAGATTCATTTGTGCGCGCTTGCTTTATTATTTAAATTCCTGCGTTATTTTTCTAAATTTCCCTACCGTTGTTGTTTTTGCTATGAGCGCTCCCGAAAAAAGTGTCGGAATTTTAATGGAAAATGCCGCCAACGAAATAAAAGAAGAAAAAATTGTTTAAGCAAACAAAGCCGACGCAAGCAACGCCCAGCGCTCTTCAACGTGGAAGCTGTTTAAGCTGCTTTCAACTCGAAGGACACACGCTGAAAGGATGTGCCGGACGCGTTTGCGTTCGCATTCGCATTCGCGTTCGCGTAAATTGAAAGCAATGCGCGCTATCTTGGCCCCCAATGTCCACAGTCCCGGCGTCCATGGTCCAGCACATGACATGAATGCCTGCCGGCTCATTTCAAGTGAAAAATGAGTAAAAAATGAAATGAAACAATGGGCGGCCGCTGTAGAAAACGCCTAGCACGTGGAGCGAGCGTGAAAAAAATCGTGGCCAATTTTAATTTTTCTTTTTTCTGGACGTTCCTTGGCAACTGTGGGCAGTACGGGTATGGGATAGGGCGGCTGGAGTGGCTGAAGCGACAGCATCAGCATCAGCGGCAGCGTCGCTTACATTTCTAATGGGCATTTTTCGGTGGGTTAATGTGCTGTTAGGGTAAAGTAAAAAGCGCCTTCAGATGCGGGGTGTAGGCGGCAAGCTGTGGGCGCGCCTTAAGCACCATTGTATGAAAATGGCGTTTTCACTTTGTATAGACGGAGACAGGGACCGAGATGGTTGGAGGACCACACATTTTTCTAGAATTTGCACGGAAGCTGCGCCGCCAAAGTTTTTGTTCGTTCTTCTTCTCCTTTGCCCTCATTGAATCCTGCCCCCTCCAATTCTTCCTACGCTTCTGCTGATGAATAATGACAATGCTAAAAAAGTGAACTTTCATGCCGCCGCCTAGGCCGGGGTGGCCAACGACTTCTGTCCGTTCATTTCTAGCCGTGTGTAACTGCCACCAGTGTACTTAAAAATGCGCAAATACGACGCCTTTGCTTACTCTTCGAGCTTGATTTACATAGCAGATTAATGTTTGCCACCATGGCAATGCCGACTGGCTACGGCGCTCCGAAGATCTTAGAAGTACAGTGGGAAAAATATGCAGGCCAATAATAAAGAAACAAGTATCAAATACGAATGAATTAAGTACAAAGCTAAAACGAATCATACACTGTGTGTAATACGTAGGGATCTTACTTTCATGGTTATACTTATTAGAGCCGCGCTTCAAGCTTAATTTCTGGTTAGGTAGCTGGAGTCGAAGTATGCGACTGACCGATAGAATGGACTAGAAATCAAATAATTCGGAATGAAAATTAATTTTATTTTGTAAAAATGTGAATTTTCATTTGTGAACTTTATTTAAAATCTGTTCCAATTTTCAATAATACCTTGACATTTTTAATTATAAGTATACAGATTGATTGCACATTTGGCTCATTGGGGGACAGTTTCTACTTTAAAGGAAATGTTGTTCGAGAGGACTTTTCTGCGTTGACCGCTTTATTTCGTCTAAGAAGTCATTAATAAGCCGAATAAATCAACTCTTATCTTGCTTATAATATTTATGTTTAAGAGATCTTTCTTGTAACTTACCTTTACATAAGAAAGGGGGTGCTTTATATTAGTGACTTTAGATTTGAAGACCCTTTTTGAGCAACAAAATTTGTGATATTAGCTGAACTTAAGAACACTTGAAACGCGCAATTTAGCCAATTATTTCAATACATAACCTTCATGTTACCAAGACAAGAGGTGCAGCTTTTAGAATTGAGACTTATTTTTTCTTTCATATTTTTTTAAGTACAATAGGCTTGATTTTTCGCCACCAGTCTTCAGAGTTATATTTTAAGCCGAAGCTGCTGGCTTATCCATAGTACTGCCTGGCATTAATCAAGAGACTTTCGTCCCCAGAAAATATCTCGAGCCAACACTGTTGTTGCGTACCTTAACGTTGATGGGGCCCGTTAAAATTGTCGGTACCACCCACTTGGCGCATTGCTAATGAAAAAGCGTATAAGTAGAGACGCACTCAAAAATTAAATTAAATAAAGGCTTTTGTGTGCGCGCAACGAGGCAAACAGGGCTGCTCGATAGAGGCCACGCCTTGACAAGTTGCCCAAACATTGCCTCGCCTCCGATATTCGCACGAGTTTTGGCAAAGTTTGTTTTACATTATCCTTAGAAACAAAACAGAGAGTTGGGCGTCGGGGCGGGGTGGGGCATTCTGGTGGGCCTTATCGCAAGGAGAACACAATGCGATGCGGGACAACTTGCTGGCGCTTTTTATTTTCGTGCATATTTTCTTGCTTTTAATTTCCAAGGCGCAAATTACGCTCGTGTGCCTTAAATATTAAAATAAAGAAGAAGCAGAGGAAGACGTCAGGCAGGCAAATAAAAAGGAAAGAAAGCCGTGTACAATGAACACTAAAGTAAAATTGTGTGCGGCCCCGTTTTCTTTGGTTTTTGTTGTTATCCTTTTTGTGCATGCTCAATGATTTCTGCGCCGTTGACGTGCCAGGACATTATTATCTGCCGCCTGTCGCTGTCATTTTTGTTCTTGATGCTGTTTTTTACTTTTTAAATATATTTTGTTGGCCATTATCGCGGCCGGCCTTTGTTTATTTAAGACGGCCAACGGCTCGCGGATGGTTGCCGCTTGGCTACGTTTTTAATTAGCCGCGGCCCCTTCGCGCAGACAATTTTATATTTCTTTGTATTATTATTATGATGATGATGATGACGATGGCGATGGCCACTCGCACAAGTGTCCATTGTGCTGTCATTTGCATAGCAGACCTCTCCCATTCACATCGCCGTTCTGCGCATCCTTGCTGTCATCGTTTGTCTTAGTTTTTAATTATCGCACGACGGAAGCGCGCACCAACAAAATATTTTCACATGAGTTCACTTGAGCGGCAACAACAGGCGGCTTGGCATTCCAATTGTCCTGGACAGGTTCCACTTATTCGTTTGCCAACTGGACTGGCTAGCTACAACCATGTTGTCGAATTTTGACACCAAAGCACAGCACTCAAATGTTTGCCGTAAAACCCTTTATAAACATGTTTACGCGACACTAAATTAGCCCGCAATTAGCGGTGTCATCAATGCCAACACCAAATAAATAAACATCAACCCTTCCTATAACTCAGCCCCTGCCATACAGCCAACCCTTTTGGTTCTATCGTCTACCCCCTCTCTATTTAATAAGCCATTAAATGCGGCGCGCATGCGTCGGCAAAGGGTTAGTCACGAAAGGGTTGCACGGACCCATTAATAACTTCATTGTCGGACATGAAGTTAAGTGCATCAAATCCAAATAAAGACCCTTGACAAAAGGCTTTACTTTGAGCTACAATATCGTTTATTTGCTTTGACATTTCCATCGAAATATTCGCCATATTCTCTGTAATGGATCCACGCCCACGATGAACAAATTGCGCAATATTTTTTAACGTGAAGTGGCTTCGAAAGATGAAAAGACGAAAAAAAGGAAAACAATTTCCAAGAATCCTTTAGGGGTAGAAAAATGCTCAAAATTAAGTGAATAGAACGCATTGGTTAAGCAAACACAGCTAGAGGCCGTCGGGGCACAAAAGATTCATAAAAGGCGCAAATCCTTCAATTTAAAGAAATTTGAAACTGCAACCTAGCCTGTGCTGTTTTTTTTTTTTTTTTCAAAGTACAGTCTCTTCTGTCTCCTTTGGCTCGACATACTATAATTGATGTTCCTCTAACACCAAACTGACAGTATCTCGGGTTGAGCTACTACTCCATTTATAGGGTACCCGATGCTAACTGGTCCGTGTGTCGTTATCGTAAATTCGAGTTGTGACAAAGAGGTCGTCGCTTCACAATGCGGAAGTCAGCAGGTGTGTTGCC